AGCTGACACCACGATACCAAGAGAAAACAACAGAGATGGAGTTTAAGGACCAACCTGCTAAATGATAAAGAGTTCACACTGAAACTGAATGAAGAAGTAAAGTGCTTTTTCATAGAAAACGGGAAACAAGATACAGCCAAAGAAATTGTTTGGGACACCATGAAGGCTTATGTGAGAGGGGTAGCCATCTCATATACAGCCTTTAAAAACAAGGAAAAAAGGAAGATCAGGGAAGAGCATACTAAAAAGCTATTACAAGCTGAAGATGAACTCCAGCAACGTCCGGGAGATGAGGCGATTAAACAACAGTGGTCGATTGCGAGACACAGACTGAATCTATTGGACCAGGAGGAGATGGCATGAAAAATAAAAAGATCTAAACATTATTGCTTTGAGAATGCCAATAAGTCGGGGAGATGGCTTGCTTATAAATTAAAAAAAGAGAAGGAAAAAAAATCAAATATTGGTATTAGAAGACTCTCAGGGCAACCTTCTGACGAAGGAAAAAGACAAATTAGAAAGCATAAGAGAATTCTATGAATGCCTATACAAAAATGAAGAAATTGAGTCAAATAAGGTGGAACAGTATTTGATGGAAGCCAGCTTACCCCAAATTACAGAAGAAGAAAAGGAAATGTTGAATGAAAAGATCACTATAGAGGAATTAAAAACCGCCCTCTCTAAAATAAAGAAAAACAAAACCCCAGGCCCAGATGGTCTTCCTGGGGAAATATATCTAAAATTTGATGAAGCCCTGAAACTAGAACTATTAGAAACATTTAATGAGGCTCTGGCTGGTACAACAATCCCGGATACCTGGAGGGAAGCGTATTTGATGCTCATACTGAAAGAAGGTGCTGACTCGAAACAGATATCTAATTATAGACCCATCTCCTTGCTGAACGCAGACTACAAACTGTTCACGAACATAATTGCAGAGAGGGTCAAAAAAATTTTAAATCAGTGGATCCACAAAGATCAAAATGGCTTTCTACCAGGGAGACAGATCAGAGACAACTTGAGAACAGTATTGAACACCATAGAATTCTATGAACAACATCCCGAAAAACAGCTGGCCCTAATGTTTGTCGATGCCCAGAAGGCGTTTGACAATTTGAATTGGACTTTTATGATTAACCAAATTAATCTAATGGGATTCGGGACGAATTTTAGGAAGATGATCGAGAACATCTACCACAAACAGAGGGCAAACATATTAATGAATGGAGATAAAACTCAGGTATTTCAGATCCAAAAAGGAGTGAGGCAGGAATGCCCCCTATCCCCCCTACTTTATATTCTGGTGTTAGAGGTGCTACTTAGAAAGATCAGAGCCAATAAAGAAATTAAAGGATTAAAGATCAGGAAGGAAATATTTAAAATGCAAGCTTTTGCAGACGACGTAGCCCTCATAATAGAAGATCCATTAGAAACCGGTTTAAAATTAATGCAGGAAATACAGAATTATGGAGAAGTGGCGGGCCTTAAACTCAATAGGAAAAAAACTAAAATAATAGTGAAAAATATGACAGATTCACAAAAAAAGGAATTGGAAGATTTATTAGGCCTCCAGGTAGTTAAGAAAATAAAATATTTGGGAATATGGATCACTGCGAGATTCTCATCATTAAAAGAAGACAATTATATCCCTCTATCGCAGAAAATATATCAAGACCTAGAAAGATGGAAAAGGCTAAAACTGTCTCTGATTGGTAAAATAGCAGCGATTAAAATGAACATCCTACCTAAAATTCTGTTCCTATTTCAAAATATTCCGATAACCTTAGATAAAAAATTCTTTCTGGACCTGAACAAACACATTAGAAATTTTTTATGGGAGGGTAAGAAATCGAAGATCTCCTTCAAGATACTGCAAGGAAAAAGAAATTTGGGAGGATTCGGGCTCCCCGATTGGGAAATATACCAAAAGGCAGCGAAAATAATTTGGATTAAGGAGTGGATCACGTTACGAAATAGGAGAATCCTGACATTAGAAGGACATGACCTATTGGAAGGATGGCATGCTCACCTGTGGGACACAAAGAACAAGAAAAAATCCTACTTTCATAAACACAAAATTAGGGAGACACTTATACGCACGTGGGAGGAAATTAGACAGAGGATTTATACTAAGGTACCTAACTGGCTTTCTATTACGGAAGCGTTGATGGCCCCAAACAGGAGAGATGATTATAAATTGGGCACATATAAAGATATTCTTGATGAAAAGGGGAAGCTCAAATCTTTGGATTTATTGAAGGACCAGGGTTTCAACTTGGATTGGTGGAATTACCTGCAGATTAATTCAAGATTCCAAAAAGACAGAGATCAATTTGGTATAGAAGCTAAATATGGAAATTTTGACAAAATTATTTGGGGAATAGACAAGAAAATGCTAGCAAAAATATATAACTTCTTACTAGATGAGGATAGAGCAGAGATTATAGCAAAAAATCAGCTAAATACCTGGGGAAAAAAACCTGGGATACAGATTAAATTTTAACGACTGGGAGATGGCCTGGAATAGGAATTATAAAATGATGAAATCGGTAACATTCAGAGAAAACCATTATAAAATGCTACACAGGTGGTATCTAGCACCAGCTAGGTTAGCGAAAATGTTTCCCAATCTCTCAGCCACGTGTTGGAAATATGGAAAAACGGTCGGCATTTTCTATCATCTATGGTGGGCCTGTCCAGAGACCAAAAGGTTCTGGTCAAAAATTCGATATTGGCTATGTGAAATAACGGGACAGGAGATAGTTTTATCTCCAGAAATCTTCCTCCTGGGTATAATCGGAGACAGCCTCAATAACAACAAAACTCAACTCATAATCCAGATTACAACTGCGGCTAGACTAGCCTTTGCGAAATACTGGAAAAATAAATCCATACCCTCAGAAGAAATACTAATAAACAAAATCCTAGAGTGCGCAGAAATGGCAAAATTGATGAGTGAGATAAATAATGAGGAGAAATCTAAATATTATGAAGTATGGGGAAATTGGTACAATTGGTTGAAGAACAAGACAAAAACATGATTTTAGGATATGACTTGTTATGCACTTGAAGTACGAGCTATATTGCATAGAATATTGAACAGCTAAGGATGAAGTTTATTTGACGTATGATTCCGTAAATTGTGTAAACACTGTACCTCTGAAGGAAATAGAGATTGTATATCTTTTTTTTCTTTCTTTTATAATGGAAAAATTTAATAAAGTATATTAAAAAAAAAAAATATTTACAAGACACAAAGGAGAGAGGAGGATTAGCACTTCCAGACTGGGAAACATATTACAAAACAACTTCATTGATATGGATTAAAGATTGGATGGAACTAAAAAACAAAAGAATACTGTCATTAGAGGGGTACAACCTACAAAATGGATGGCATGCTTTCCTGTAGGAGGGAAAAAGTAGACAACACAGATATTTTCAAAGACATTTGATCTGGGAAGCATTGCTACAGAAATGACAGGAGATAAAAAAGAAACATTATGAAAAAATTCCGGAATGGCTATCCACTATGGAGGCACAAATCTACCCAAATGCTCTAGATATTGCCAAAATGAAAACTTACGAGGAACTGCTGAATAATCAAGGGGAATTAAGAACAAGACAAGAATTGAAAGAATTGGGTACAGACATTGATTGGTCGCCCTATATGCAAATAATCTAGATATAGGACAGATTTGGCACAATTGGATTTCAAAAGGGAACATATGAATTAGATAAAATTCTTCAGGGAACAGAAGACAAATTGATTTTAAAAACCCTATAATTATTTATTAAGATACAAATTGGAAGAAGAGGTAGTTAAAGAAAATATGATAATTTGGACAAAAGAATTTTGGATACAACATTGAATTAGATAAATGGGAGAAATTATGGAATATAAATTACAAACTAACAATGTCTGTACCCTATAAAGAAAATATGTATAAAATGTTTTATAGGTGGCATCTCCCACCTGCCAGATTGGCTAAGATGTTTCCAAATACTTCCCTGTGATGTTAGAAATGTAAACATCAAAAAGGAATTTATTATCACATGTGGTGGTCCTGCCAGAAGGTAAAACAATTTTGGTAAACAATTAAAATACAAATAGAAGAAATTATAAATCAACAAATAAAATGAGGCCAGAAATTTTCTTACTGGGAATAATTACCTGGCCATATGAAAAAGAAATAAGATACTTAATTATTCACATATTGACAGCAGCACGAATAGTTTTTGCCCAAAAATGGAAAAACAATGACATAACATCAGAAGACAAGGTGATTAGAAAAATTATGAAATGTGCGGGAATGGATAAACTCACAAAGGAGATATAAGAAAAAGATGAAACAGATTATTATTTAGTCTGGGAGAAATGGTATAAATGGTTGGAGGAGAAAGGGAAAAAAGAAAAAAGGGAGAAAAGAAAACTAAACAATGGTTAAATTAAATGGAGAAATATGGAAATAAATGGGAAGATACAAATTGTGGAAAGGAAATTAGGTACCTGTTTATGTTAAATGTAAATAAAATATTTAGATTAAGAGAATATATATATATATATGATGTACTAGGAATATATGTATAAGAAATAGATTAAGATAAGAAAGAGAAAATGTATAAATATAGATTACTGATGCGAAGATGTTGAAAAGAAGAAGATGTAAATATCTAATTTTGTTTGGTTTTTTTGTTTGTTTGTTCGTATTAAAAAATGTTCAATAAAAATTATTTTTAAAAAAGTGAAGTTTTTAATACCAATAATGGAATCAATGTTTATGGCTTTCAACCCTTTCTCTTTAAAAAATTTCACAGCTAGAAATAGAAGTATAGTACATTGGTGGTTAACCCTTAGGAAGGGCATCTTTAATAGGAGTGAAAGCTACAAATCCTTGCAGGCAAAGTCAAAATGAAGTGAAAACATAATAATAGTATAACTGGTGATGTTCTTTGGCAGGTCAGCTCTTAATCCTAAAATATATTTTTCTCTCTGATTACAGTATTTACATATTCAGTAAACAGTATGTCAGATTTTGGAGAACCAAAGAAAATTAACTCTGCACTACAGGTGACTTTTTAAATATAATAGCATATTATATTTAATGTGAATATATAAATTAATAAATAAAAATATAAATATGATAATAAATGATAATTTGCAGAATAAGCTTTCTGTTCCCCAAATATCAATTTTTAAAAATAAAACTTGGAATTAATAGGATAGGATAGGATAGGATAGATACAGAAACTTTATTGTCACTTTAAAAGTACACTAATCAGCCTAAATTAAAATGAAATTTCATTACATTCAGCTCTCAAAAGATCACCATTATGCATATACCCACATACACACATGTATATGACACAGAGTTGTATGTATGCATGGCGAAAAAAAAGACTCTTGTGAGTTTAGAAGACGGATTGCATAAGGAACAAAGCTGTTACAGAATCTAGTAGTCCTGGTATAGATACTTCAAAACCTCCTCCCAGAGGGGAAGCAACAGAAACAGACCGTAAAGCGGATGTTTGGGGTCTCTAACAATGCTTCAAGATCTAAGTGCATAGTGTTTATAAGTAGTACCCTAAATAACAGGAAGCTAGCTTCCTATAATCTTCTCACCTGTCCTTACTATTCTCTTTGCATGGACCTCATATTTGAGGCACTGGTTCCAGTTCCCAATGATTGAATGAGAACAATCATAAAAAGCCTTTTCTCCCTCTCTTAATATAAGCTTACTGAGTTCAAGAAAGCTTGAAAGAAAATAGATTTGTGTATAAAGCCAGTTCTGATACTGAGAAAAAATATTTTAATTCTGTATGTAGTCAAAAGCAATTTCTTTCCAAATTCCCCATTTACCTTCCTAGATCACTCTTTTGTATATGTCTTGTTTGGTGGATTTGGAATTGTACCAGTTCAGCAGATAATACAAAGCTGTTGTACTATTTATAATACTTAGTAGCTTCTCAAACAGAGTTTGCTAGAGGAGTTATTCATTGCTAAATATCCCTTCTCTTGCTTTTTTAATTTTATTTCAAAATAAATTTAGATTCTGTAGATATATTTCACCATTTTTGTTCTACAGTGAGTTAAGGACAAAGAATAAAGTCAAACCAAAATGTAGCCATTGGTCATGGGTACTCAACAAACCAAATATATTTCAATATACCACATGTCTAAGGAAAAGTATCTATGATTTCCAATATGGTGTTTTTGCAAAACTGGTAGTAATCTATTTTCCTCTTCTTTGCTCCCCCCTTTCAAGGGATCTCTTAATAAAGATACAATACAGATGAATACCTATGTGGCCTTGTACAAATTTGTACCACAGGAGCATGAAGATTTGGAAATGAGGTAATGCTAGTATACACTGTATATTTCATTTAGTTGTGATTGGCTTGCTTAGCTAATTTTATTGAAATCAAAAGCAATAGTTTTTAATCCCATCAATATTGCATCACCTAAACATTACAGATAATTTTGTATAATTCTACAATGCAGTCTGATGGGTGAATATATGACAGAATATAGTAGTGCTTTGCATATTAATAGAGACATATAAACTAATTGCAATGTTTCTGTTTTTTTAATCATAGGCCAGGAGATAGAATTATACTTCTAGAGGATTCAAATGAAGATTGGTGGAAGGTACAATCAAAATAGCTTCAATAATGTTAAAATGGAAAAAATGAATATTGTATTATACTTTTTTGGTCAATACATTAGTACAAATTCATTTGTAACTCAATACTCTGTTATAGAACTATTTTTTCCCCAGCATAGTTTTTTGGTTAACTCTTTTTGGTTAGTTCTTTTTCATAGTGCAAAAATTAAGAAACCTTCCTTCTTTTTCAGACTAAAATCCAAAAGATAGAGCAGGAGAATGCAAACAACCCATCAAATTATCTGGTTATCTACATTAGAAATTGTCACCAATTATAGAACCAACAGGATGTTCTCCAAATATATTGGATTATAGTTTCCATTATCCTCAACCAGCATGCAAACCATTTGCTGAATATTGATGAAGGGAATTGTAGTCTGCCATATTTGGGGTGCCAATGTAGGGGAAGATGGATTACAGCATCTGACCAAGGGTAGAATGATTAAATTCAAATTCCTTTGAACTTTAATGAAACTCAGTAAGTGATTGTAGACTATGCAGGAGTTATTTTATAAAGCTAGCCATCTTAGTAGCTGAAGGGAAAACAGAACATTTCACCTTGATAAAGTGGTAGAAAAATAACATATACAAAATAGAAACTTTAATACTATGTAATGGTCATCTTCTCACCATGTCCTATTCACAGGGAAAAATAAAAGATCGAATTGGTTTTTTTCCTGCTAATTTTGTTCAAAGATTACAAGATGAAAATGTTTTCAAATGTATCAGAACCTTTATTGGATGCAAGGAACAAGGGCAGATAACTCTAAAAGAGAATCAAGTAAGTAAACTTAGAAATCTTTCCTCTGTTTTAACATTTTAAGGATTCCATGGTTCATGACTCTCTCTCTCTCTGTCTCTCTCTCTCTCTCTCTGTCTCTCTCTCTGTCTCTCTCTCTATATATCTATATCTATATCTATATCTATATCTATATCTATATATCTATATCTATATATCTATATCTATATCTATATCTATATCTATATCTATCTATCTATCTATCTATCTATCTATCTATCTATCTATCTATGTAGGTCTTTGGTTATTCGGGTCTTCTCCCACGTAAAATTGGAAGTGTCTTGGCGACGTTTCGACGAAGTCTCATTCGTCATCTTCAGGCTGGTGTTCTCGGCTTCGTGCTTCCAGGAGCAATGTGAGATCGCCAAGACACTTCCAATTTTACGTGGGAGAAGACCCGAATAACCAAAGACCTACACACACACACACACACACACACACACACACACACACACACACATATATATTTGGGATTCAAACCCATGGATAAAATAGTCAACAAAATTAATACAAAGCTGGTCCAGGAAAGGGCAACGGTTGTCATGCTTATTGAAAAAGATATTATTAATACATGCCCCAATGCATATAGGAGAAAAAGTAATTTTGCTATTTTTATAAACATACAAATATCAAGTTTACATTGATACATTACAATTACATTGATACAAATATCAAATTTAAATCAATAGCTGTGAAAGGACAGGGGGAGCTAAAATCAGTGGCAAACTGAGTTTATAGAAAATGAAGAGTGAAAAAATCTGCCTTATACCAGACTAGGCCTTTTGTCATTTAGTTTAATCATAGATACATACATTTTAGCCATTGTCTACCTACTGCAGGATGAAGGGCTCTTCTGCATGTTTCCAACTATATGGTTCTGAGCTTTCTTTTGCCAATTGGGCCCACATACATACATACAAACATTCATACATACATACATCTCACAATATAGCAAACAAAAATAGAAGCATAATGTAGAATAGATAACTTGAATCCTACTGCTAAATATAAAATGCATACAAAAAATACATCCAAGAAGCATTTCTATCCATTCTAACCCAGGCCAGGAAAACAGCCAAGTCTTCAAGGACTTCTGGAATGTCAATAGGGTGAGAGCCACATAGATTTCAGGAAGGATCTCACTCCAGAGGGCAAGCATCGCAACACAGAAATGTTAACGTTGCTGCCTGCCTTTTTGACTTCCTACAATCCATTTGCAATTTTGTTCCTTCCTCCCAGGAACAAAGCCCTGTTTTGGGGGGCATTTTTGACCATTTTTGGGCCCTTTTGGGGGTCATTTTTTGGCCATTTTTCAGACCATTTTGGATGTTCAGTAGTAGCAAATAAATAGAGAGGGAAATTGTACCTTGTTGAGGCCTTTGACTCAATTTTCCTCTCTATTTATTTACTACTACTGAACATCCACAACGGCCCAAAAAATGACTCGGAAAACTGGCCGAAAAACTGGCCCCAAAATGCCCTGAAAAGAGCTGAAAGACAGGATGCACTTTTCCTAGTATGCATGGGAGGTTAAGCTGAACTGTTACTGGGTTAATTATTTTCACTATTAGGAAAGGTCCTAAAAATTTCGGTTCCAGCTTTTTACTGGGCAACTTCAATTTTATATATTTGGTTGGTAGGTAAACCCGATCTCCCACATGGAAGGGGGGCTGGAGAAATCAGTGCTTATCCACTTGTTTTTTATATGCCTCAGCGACTTCTGTCAGTGCTTTTTTGATGTTTTCCCACCTCTTCTTTAGTGATTCCATCCACTCAGTCAGGGTCATGGAGGATGGTGGCTCCCTGGGCAGCTTGGGCATGGAGACAAAATCCATGCTGCTGGTGACCTGAAAGAGGGTCAGGCCAGTGCTGCTATGTATGGTGTTGTTGTAAACAACTTCTGCAAATGGCAGCAGGTCATAACATAACATCTTATATATTGCTCCACCATTGCGTTCACTCGTTTCGCAGCCCCGTTCATACTCAGATGGAAAGCCAAGCTAAGTCCTTGAGTGGACCCAATTGATTTCAGAAACTCCCTCCAGAACTTAATGGTGAATTGGATGCCTCAGTCTGAGATTAATCGGATACTCCATGCAGTCAGTAAATTTGTTTGATAAAATCTTCGCCAGTTTCTTTGCTGAGGGTAATCCCAGTGAAGTGGGCAGTGAAGTGGGCTTGCTTGGAAAACTAATCTATCACCATCCAAATCACTGTATTTCCTCCACTCTCTGGGAGCTTGACTATAAAGTTCATTGTGATTTCCCCCCCATGGTCAGTTAAGGTTGGCTACTTGCTGGAGGAGCCCAGGAGGTCTCCCAGGTCTCATTTTCATGGCTGCACAAGTGGTACAGGTCATAATCTTCCACATCGATCTTCATATTTGGCCACCAAAACTGACTTCTGGCCAGGTGCAGCACTTTCTTTTTTCTTTTTTCTAATTAATATTTTTATTGCATTTTTACAAATAAACAAATTTTACTCACATTTTAGGCATAACTGTGACCATTTACATACCATAACATTCCAATTCAAATACACTCTATACATTTTTACTATAGATTTTAATTCTACTTCTATTTTGTCTATTTTTTTTCTTTTTTCTGTTCCCAATCCAGTTGTACCACTTCTCCCATGTTACATAGTGTTCTGAATCTATTTGTCCTTTCAGTTCAATTCTTAATTTGTCCATTTCAGCACAATCAAATATTTTTTATTAAAAAGTTTTATCAAATATTACAACAATTTTTCCCATTCCTCCTCCCCCCATCCCTCCTCCAAACTCCCTTTTGCTCTTTAACTCCCCTTTCAACTAACAAAACATAATTCAAAAAGAAAAAATATTTTTTTTTGTTTCATTCATAAGCTATTTGAAACGATAGTCCGATATTTGTTTTGAATATAGTCAATCCATCTTCTCCATTCTGATATATATCTTTCATTTGAATGGTCCTTCAAGTATGCTGAAATTTTTGCCATCTCTGCTAAATTCACTACTTTTAATGTCCATTCTTCAATAGTAAGTAAGTCTTCCTTCTTCCAATACTGCGCCACCAAAAATCTGGCTGCTGTTATTAAATTTAAAATCAATTTGGTCTCTATAACCGTACAATCCATAATTATACCCAACAGAAAGAACTGTGGAGTAAATTTTATCTTCTTCTTGAGAATATTTTGGATAATCCACCATATTTTTATCCAAAATGCCTTAATTTTTTTACATGTCCACCATATATGATAATACGTGGCATCATCACATTTGCATCTCCAACACTTAGGTTGCAAACTTGGATACATACAGGCTAACTTTTTAGGATCTAGATGTCATCTATAAAACATTTTATAAAAATTCTCTCTTAAGTTTTGGGCTTGCATAAACTTTACATTTTTAACCCATATTTTTTCCCACGTTTCCATCATTATTGGTTCTTCAATATTTTGTGCCCATTTTATCATACAGTCCTTAACTAGCTCTATTTCTGAATCTATTTCTACCAATGCATTATACAACATTTTTATATGCATTTGACTTTGGTCTCTAATTTGTTTTACCAAGTTCTTCTCATTCTGCAAAATACCAGTTTTCTGATCTTCTCTCCATCTAGCTTGCAGCTGTCCATACTGAAACCATGTTTGAATTATCATTTCTTCTCTTAATTGATTCAAAGATTTTAATTGTAGTATACCTCTTTCCTTATTAAGAAGCTCTTTATAAGTAGTCACATCTTGTTTTTGCTCTACACTTATGTTCTCTATCGCGTGTCTGGGTATTACCCACATTGGTAACTTATTGTTTAATTTATACTGATACTTTTTCCAGACACACAATAAAGCATTCCTTAATATGTGACTTTTAAAAGTCTTATCCACTTTCTTATCATATAATAAATAAGCATGCCAACCATAAACCAAATCATATCCCTCAATATTCAATATTCTTTCTTCTGTTGTATTCATCTAAAAACTAATTGCTAATAGGGCAGCTGCCTCATAATATAATCTTAAAATTGGGCATTTTGAGATCTCCTCTTTCACGTATATCCTGCATTATTTTTTGCTTTATTCTCGGTCTCTTTCCTGCCCAAACAAAATTATTAATACCCTTCTGCCATATCTTCAAATTTTCATCTTTTTTAAGTATTGGTATCATTTGAAAAAGAAATAAAAACTTAGGCAAAACATTCATTTTTATTGCTGCTATTCTTCCCAACAAAGATAATTGTAATTTTTTCCAATTTTTCATCTCTCTCTGTATTTTTTGCCACAACGGACCATAATTATGCTTAAATAATTTCGCATTTGATGTCATAATGTAAACCCCTAAATACTTAACTTTTTTTACTATTTCAAATCCTGTTAGTCTTTCTAATTCTTCTTTTTGATTTGTAGTCATGTTTTTAGTTATTATCTTCATTTTCCCTGCATTTATTTTAAATCCAGATACTTGTCCATATTGATTAATTATATCCATTAAACCTACAACCGACTGTAATGGTTGGGTTAAAGTAACAACCAAGTCATCTGCAAATACTCGTAATCTGTAGTCATACTGCCTAATTTTAATTCCCTTTATTTTATCCGACCAACATATTTTACTCAACAAAAATTCCAAAGTCAAAATAAATAATAATGGAGAAAAGGGACATCCTTGTCTTGTTCCTTTTTCTATATTAAAAGTATCTCTTAAGCTACCATTAATTATTATTTGTGCTGTTTGTTTGCCTTTGCCTCTGATATATTGCCCTAATAGAGTGTGTAAAATATTCTCCAAACTGCATCTTTTCTATTATTTTCAATAAGAAATGCCAATTCAATCAATCGAATGCTTTCTCCGCATCAAGAAATATTAGCACCACAGGGACTTGGTTGTTCTTCCCCAAATACTCTAATAGGTTAACAACTTGCCTTACATTACTCTTCATTTGTCTACCATTTATAAAACCAGTTTGATCATTATGAATCATCTGTTGCATGACTGTCAT